ATGTATGAGTGGTGCACTACCGCTACTATTGATGAGAAAGTGTATTGCACCTTATTTAAAATCAATGTGGTGCCTTGGCCCTCTGTGGCCCAAAGTTAAAAACTGTTGTTCTTTTGAAGCCCTCAAGGTGGCGCTTATGGCCCACAGGTTGAGAATCTCTGGTGTAGAGGACTTGAAGCGGAGTAGAAAATGCCACCAGCAACCATAATTAATGTGCCTTATTTCCTGTGTTTACAGAATAAAGTCCCTATACAACTCAATACACCGGCAGTAGTTATTTCCTATTAACCAAGTGTAAACTCTTAACTCTGAGGTTGAGCCAGACCACCTTACAGAAGAAACACTTTTCAGCCGTTTGCATCAGGGATCCCAACAATTAACTCTAAAAATGTATTTTTCTTCATTGATTTCCTCTCATTTATGAACCAATTCAGCACATGATCAAAATTTAAAACTGATGAGATCAAGATGAAATGGGACAGAGTGGGGCAGACCCAAAACACAAGTGAAAACTACTTCATTGTTGTTTTAGTTTTTAGGATTCAAATTGAAGATCAGGGACATGTAATCTTCTGATGAAGCTGCAGTTCCAGGAGCTGTGGTCTGAAGCTTATTGGTGCCTGTCACAGCATCAACGCCTCCTTTAAAAACTTGAAGCAGCGGTGTGTGTGGCCGGAGGATATGTGGCTTTGGTGGTTGTGGATGCTAAAACTAAAGCATAGAAGAAATTTGAGGAGGCCATGGAGAAGGACTTTGGTTGGCCTTGAGTAGGTTCTAGCAAACCATTTGGCAGCTCCAAAAAGGAAAACAGACCCTGAGGACTGGGACAGCTCCTGTAGAGTGGCACACTGTGGTGGTGGTTCCCATTTTTAAAAAGAGGAACCAGTGAATGTGTTCCATCTACCGTGGGATCACACTTCTCACTCTCCTCAGGAAAGTGTTGGAAGGGAGATTGTCTAACCTCAGCAACCTCCTGGAGCAGGAGATGGATTGAAGAATCCTCAGTAATGAGGACGTTGCTTCGGATGGTTGTGGTGAAAAAGAGTTGAGTCAAAAGACAAAGCTCAGTCTTAAGCTAGGTTTTTAATAGAAACGTTGAACGAGGGTGCACGCACCAATAGTGATGTGCAGTCCCTGCCCCTGCATGTTTACTCCGTGCATTGGTGTGTAGTCATGCACCTCCAAATTTTTGCAACTCTGGCTGCACGTGCCATGGGTTTGTTTGTTTGTTTGTCACACTTTTGGTATTTATATTTTACAAGTTATAAAGTTTACTACCGCATGCATTGTTCCCCTTATAAATGAAAAACAAAATTAATTAAATATTAATTAATATTTTTTGAGGATCCCCAAATTACAGCTCACGGACCCCAGTTTTGGATCTTATTTTCACAAATCGATCCTCCATATATGGCATATCTGGAGTTATAAATACTTCAATCTCGGATCATTCATTTATTTATGTCATTAGAAAAAACCTTAAGAAACCTACAGGTCATGTGCATAATTTCATTAAAAGGATTCCAAAATCAAAGTTACCCATGTTTCATGCTGAGATTGAGAATACTAACTGGAATGAGGGTATTTCTCTGTCAAATCCAAATCAAATTCTGGAAGTGGTCATTCAACTATAT